AGTTAGAACTCCTATAGCTATCCTACTTCCTACATTTTAAATCTTCATTTAGTAAGAATATTTCTTATATAAAATATATATTAATTATGATATATTTATATCGATTATACAGTACTTCAAAATGTGATATTATAAATGTAATTATTGACATAAGCATCATGTTACGTAAAAAAATTGTATTTTCCTTTAACCTTAGATTGTAAAATTTATCATTTATATAAATGCAATTTTTTAAGTAATTTACTTAACAAAATATCAATAGGAACTCACTAAATAAAAAAATATTAATAATATAAAAGGATAAAAGATTCTCTTTTCTTTATATATTTTTACTTATATGCATTGATTAAAACTGCCATACTTATATTATTTATACATTTATTTATATTACATTAATTGTTCAGTTTTTGAATAAAATAGTAGCTTTATGTAGAAAAAGAATTGCCGCACACTAACATATACCTACCACACGCATGCATACCATGGTATACGAAACAATTGTGATATTGTAGTCGCGTAATATCGCGCCATCGAAACTTATGCAAATCTGATATGCCGGCCAATTACACCAATCGCACTTCCGCAAATCCGCGCCATGTACGTCACATGCACACAAATGCAGAATTCCCTCTCGTATATCGATGATGTAAGATCATATACAACGCTACGCCGTCTATGGTCCAATTCATTATTAGTAAGGAATAAAACATTTTCAAAAAACATTTTATGAAATGAACAATATCCAATTTACGGAATTTACTTTGAATATTAAAGTCTATGCTAACTCTCTCGCTCTCTATTTTCTTTTTCATATAGCACTCGAGAAGGAGACAGCAGATCTATGTCTGACACATGGGACATGGCTGTGTGTGCGTGCCAGCGCATCCTCTCCACACGCCTAAGCATGCTGATCGCTCTGCGGAACGGCATCACTGTCAGTTACGAAGGAATATAAATATGTGCCGTAGAAATACAATGTGCTCAGTTGCTGGATTAAGTTTGTGCAAGTTGTTCGTTTCTATCACTGAAACGTAGAAAGATGAAGAGAGTCGCGTTTTTTGTTTTAGCATTCATTGCTATCGTAAGTGCAATTTGTTTTTTAACACATGTATGTACTTATATTTTACACTGATATTTATATTGCTGTTCCTCCTTTCACTTCGTTCAGATAATGTTAAATAAAACATTTATACGAATACAAATTGATTAATGCAGTATATAAGATGAGCAATAAAGTTGTATTTTTTTAGCGAATATGGGGAGGGAGATTATTATCTTTTTAATTTTAAACATCGCACATTTTAACCAAGTCTCAAAACAGTATTTTATTATAATAAGCTTAAAAGTATTTCTTAAATTTATTAAATTAGTTTTGTCACTCAGACTAACTTGCTATTCTAAAATTTGGTTGCAAAAAGTTAAAACTACTATAACCTTCATATTTAAGTGGAAAGGTATATTTGAAAATAATCAAAGTACAAAATATTTTATTTTAAGAAAACTAGATTATGCCCAACATATTTTGAGTTATATATTATAAAATAATTTCTGAATGCATCTGAACATCTGAAAGAGGAAGGTAAGTATAAAATCCTTGTGCGAATTAGACGATGCATCTGCGAGCTTACGCAAAAATGTCAAATGAAGGTTTCTTAATTATTATATTATATTATTTGTGTTTATAATATTTAATTTTTTTATCGAATCACAATTAAAACTCAAAAAGAGCTTGTAGCATGTAGCTAATCACATGAAAGTAAAGAAAGGTCACGATTACACCCTGAATTTAGCTCGCGGCCTATACATATACCAAATTCAACATTCTTGTTAGATCGCCTGCTGAGTAGGCGACCCGACTTGCCTTCAGGTCAGGGGCCCTATTCTCCATATAGGTGTGTACGCAAATGGTCAGTTGGAAATAATCGTATTTAAAAAATATTTTAATTAATAAGCTCCTTTAAGATAAACTAGTAATTGTGATATGGCGTTAGGAGCATATGACGATATTGTGCAAATCGGTATTGTCTTTTTTTAAAAAGATGGAAAGAAACAAGCACGCATGTAGAATTGTTATTCAAACATAAATAAATATCGATAAGTATAATGTCAGACGTTTCGGTTACTGAAGGTAACCCTTTTCAATGACTATAACAAATTTGTGCGCTGGTATAATATATTTTTCGGACATATACCGCATCGTTGATGTGTGTTTTTGGATGTGTAGAGTCTTTTTACTTTCTCTTCATTGTAACGGTGTGATCAGCGTTGTGGAGATTCATGTGATGTTTGGTTACCCGAATTCTCTTCTGTTCTTTGGACACGTGTATGCGATCATCGGATACTTCGAATGGTATTTGATAATGCATCATCGGTGGTCCATGGCTGTGCGAGTTCGTCCTTAGATTTTTAGATAAACTATACAGTACGACGTGACAGGCCACGTCTGTATACGACAACCGTGAACAACAGACTGTCTGTACACTGTATGATGTTCATGAATAATGAATCGTTTCAAAAGCATATACGTATTTAGACTATTCAAAATGTACGTATGCATAATATTGCAAATGATTTCGAGAATAGAGCCCCAGGCCTCATATAAAGAAAAGACTATTTTGATATCTATATTGATTCAATGATAAGAGAAAGGAGCATAAAAATACATAGCTTTGTTCTATGATTTTATATCTGATACTTTTCTAGAAAGAATTGACGTCAAATTGATGAAATAAGTTGTTATTAAAAAATTAGTACAAAAATAAAACACACATATATTATAAAACTTTTTCAATATTTCTTTATAATATCTGTCGATTCTTTTATGATACAATTCATTTATATTAGCGGAAAGTCGTCTATTATGAAATAGGACTCTAATATGAGATAGTAGGCTTTCAATGTCCAAATTTAATAAATCTATTCTTGCAACGATTATACGATTTAATAATCATTTTTTCACTAACCAGATGTCACTCGAAGGACAAAAATTCATGGTGGAATCAACTAATGAAGTCTATTAATTTATTGTAGTAGAAACTCCACTCTCTCATATTAGAAGTTTATCCCATAATAGGGGACTCCACTATATTTTTTATACAATAAATTCATGTGCAATCGTTATCGATAATAATGACATTATCATATTAATAAAGTATGTATAATGTAATATAACTGTATTTTAGGTAATTGCAGATGATAAAGATATAGAGGAAATAGCAGAGAAATTCGGTAGCGACGTTGCGGAAGTAAAAATATGTCTAGAGGAACTTAAGATAGATACAAGTAAATCATCAGAAGTGTATAAATAATTTTATTTATATTCCATATTTTTATATAAATTTCCAAATTTATATCCTGAAATTTAACATAATTAGAAAATTTTTTAAATTTTTTAGAGGAAATACTACCCTTGCTTCAGAACTGGGAAAACATAAAGCCTGAAGAAATTACTGAAGATGTCAAACAATCTCTTACGACATACTCTCTTTTCCTGGCTTGTATATTAGAAAAAACTGGAATGGTAAATAATTTGCAATAAGTGTTATACTAATAAATTATTAGATATACAAAATTCTGATGACAACTGCATCGAAGCTGACATAATTGTTAAACCGCTGTTTGTTCATCATATTTCCATTAAAATGCATAATGAGCCGTGTTATGGCTCAAGTGGCTTGAGCATTTCCCCCGTGCCGTCTTGACGCGCTCTTATTTCCCCGACTACTATGTAATGCGTTACTTGAAATCCTACAACTTTTGTTTGAAAAGTTTTCTACTGGAACTTATACGTTTTGAGATATTTGAGTGGATTGATTAAAATGAGCCACTCTGTATATAATATTTTAAATTGTAATATCTAATAAAATATACTGTCTAACATAAACTTAATCAACATTAAGTAGAATAACGGCATTAATTCTTTTAGATATGTGTAAGTAGGCAATATATGTATAACATATACACAACTTATTTATTTTAAAAGATTACCTATTGCTACTATTCTATTCAATTTTGATTAAGTTTATATTGTAGAATCGCTATGGCGTATTATATATCCTTTCTTTTTCATTTTAGATGGTAGATAGTAAGTTGGTTACAGACAAACTAATTGAAGATATGGAAGCAGACAAGGAAATAGTAATTACGGATAAAAAAGCTTTAGAGGAATGCATTAATTCGCGTAAGTAAACATAAAATCACTTATAAATTGTATCTCTGTCCTAATTTTTGTTCTCTCAATTTTGTCATAACTATATCAAACTATTCAATCTCCAAGTATTGAAAGAATAACTGATTACGTGTCTACGTCACTGTGTACACATCGACCAAATTTGTCTGGAATTTTTTTTATTCGTTAAATGAGCTTCTAGAATAAAATATTTCAAGCACTAACCGATATTTAAATATCGTAAGCTGTGGTCAAGCTGTCGCTGCAAACGTTTCGAAACATTTCTCCTCTCTTTCTATCTCTACTGAAAGAAAAGAGAAGAAGAATACTTCGTAACATTTGAAGCGACAACTTCACCGCAGCCTAAGAATGAATTTTATAATTCATACATTTTAATATAAGCTTTCTATTCCAACTAGTCCGTATGAGGTTAGTGTATTCAATTCCGAGAACTCGAGATTTCTCTATTACGCAAATTTACGCTGCACTGTCATATCCCTTGTTAGTTTTAAATCACTTGGTGTGTGCGTATATACAGGGTGTTAGGAATAAGGTGTCTACGACGTCATGTGCAGATAGAGGGGAACAAACTGAAAAGAAAAGTTATATACCATTTTGTAAAATTCCCACTAGTTATCGAGTAATTAATTAAAACGTCTGAACGAATGAGCGTGTAGGAAGCGGCCGGACTCGGATCTAGAGTAGGTCGGATCTAGAGACCCTCTAATCAGAGTCTGGACATGCGGTATCCAGCTTCTGATTGGTTCGCCATGTTTTATGATTTTCCCATTGAATTTGAAAGTCAAGGTTATTGGAGTTATAAGTTTTCTTTTCTACAGTTTCCTGATTTTTATCAATTTAAAACTAAACTTTTCATATCAATTTGCACATAATGTTCTGTACAATATTATATAATACATAGCTTATATTTATATAATTTTGTTAATAATTACTAATAATTGCTTTAATTACTCTAGTGAATGAAGATTCCCAATTGACGCGAGAAAACAGAGTTTTTGGTTTAATGCTTTGCACACTCGATCAAATGGGCGAAGACAAAAAGTAAAAGAGAATTTGTATGATATATTATGTTGTTTGGATTATAACATTTCCTATGTATATTGTATGCAGTGGTAGTATAATATAAGAGAAATTTATGATGTCGGGGTTTAAACAAATCTAAACGCTGTTTCGATAAGTAGATTCACAATAAAACTTGTTGCTTACAAATCATGTTGATGATGCTAAATAAAATTAATTAGTTTAATAGTTTTAACAATTTATTTGTATCATACAATGTTACCTATAACATGTTAGCATAATAATACATAAAAAAGATTAATATACTTCAACATATTCGAAAAATATGTATATTATACATTCATAACTAAGAAGTGTGAATCGCCAGTAGTTGATTAACAGTAAAAAGAATTACACGACTTTAGGCTGGCAACTGGTTTATTTGTTTGATTCCGACGTTCCGACGCGGTCAAACCTCTTTTTTAATTTAACACCGATGACGTAATATTTATTATCCAATTCCTTGAAAAGGACCACAACCCGTATAGTCGGAACGTCAGAATCAAACAAATAAACCAGCTGCCAGCCTAAAGTCGTGTAACAATTCTTTTTACTGTTATACATTTATATTCATTATTTGAAACATTACGTCATATAAAAATTATAAACTATATTAATTACATGTATTAATTAGGGATACTATGAGACACTAAATCAATTTTCATTAACATTTTTTTTTGATCAACGATATGGGTTTTTTAAACTATGCAATTTGAAGAATAAATATTATTCTATTAAAGGAAATAAATTATAATTATTAATAGGGAGGGAAGGGAAGGGGAGGGAAGGGGCGGAAGGGAGGAGAGATGGAGAGGGGGAGAGAAGGAGAGAGGAAGAGAGGGAAAGAGGGAAGGAGGGAGAAAGAGGGAGGGGGCATAAAAAGCACTTGAAGATATTCAATGTTATTAGTTCGTATTATATCGTATCTTTATTACTTCTTTGAGAGATACGTTTACATTCTATGTAAACAAATGTAGCTCTCTTTCTCAAGGAATTACCACCACAACTTCCCTCCTACCTAATTTGTAAGAACATTTCGAAGTCAGATCCTCGCCGCAAAGTTTACCAATTGCGTTATCTTTTCAGGCAAGAATAAAATCTATTATCTTTATTACTATTTTCGTCATTATTAGTTTTCACGCAATCTAGTCCGATTCTCGGTAAAGCACTTAAATGTGTTGACCGAAAAACGGACGTAATGAATACTCTTGTCGAATCGTGTCAAGAATAATAAAACGTGATAAAAGTAACGATAGAAGAGCATGTTTTCGGAGAAAACAAATATATGTAGCCCAAATTTAATATAAATAATATACTTTGTTAATACTGCATTCTAATTATTACCTTCCAAATAATGAATAATATTTATTATTTTTATTATTATAGTAACAATTATTTAAAAAAGTATTTAAATAGAAAATTTTTCCAGTTAGAACAAGGAAAATTTTTTCAGTTAAGGATCTTATTTATTTTCATTATTTAATTCTATTTGTTTCTATTGTATTTCAGTATAAAAAGATTTAGTTGATAAGAAAAGCAAAGTATAATTTTTCAGTAGCTGAATTTGTAAGTTTTATTTAGCATTTGTTACAAAACGAAATTTTTGCAAATATTTAGATGGAAGCATTATCTTAAGAACATAGAGTTATCATGATCCACTCTCATAAATAAGGTCAGTGGAGTTATTCAGTTAGGATTTAAAAATGAGGGAAATCCTACGAGTCGTTTCGAAGATAACAGTCATCATGTTTGCTTCACAATCATTTTTATTGAATTTTTAAATAAAGTATTACGTAATAAATTAAGAAAACTTTTCATAATAAAAAGCCTTCAAACAAAATTTATAAATTCAAACTTTCATTCTTTACACAATAGAATTAAAAATTTTTTGGACGCTAATTCCTTTTATAACTTTAGATTGTTTGAAAGATACTTGAAAAATACTGAATACTAAATCTATACATATAACAGATAATAACCATTTCATAATATTTTTTAACTCTTCAAACATTTCTAAATAAAACATTCTCCGAGATAAAACACAAAAATTTCAAACATCCAACTCAAAGAATGTACATTACTAAAAAATAATAAAATAAAATAACAAAGTTAAAATACGTACAAATACTAATCTAAAATGTAGAACAAAATAATGTACAATAAATTACAATGTTTGCCTTCGATCTTTAAATTGCGTTTATCATGCCAAATCTCCAATCAGATACCTATGTTATAATAATAAATATTTCATCTTTATGAAAAATTGTAATATTTTTAAACGACCAAATGACGCATGTTGCGGCGTGAATCCCCGATAAATGCGCATCTTCCTTGATTCGTTCATCGACCGCGTGATGTAGCAAGGTTTTTCCTGTTATACCTTTTCTGTGCGCATGTCAGATGATAATCGGCGATAAGTTTCCTGTAACGTTTTCTCTTGGTCGAGTGCCATATTTAGCGTTCGCATAGGAGATATAAGTAGAAGTTTGCATCGGGGCACCATCATCAGTTTACAAAACACTGCGCACCGAACGTGTTGTATCAGTGAAGAACAAAGTCATGAAATTCCTCGCGCTATCCGTCTGCCTGATGGCAACCGCCGTAAGTAATGGCAATTAAATTATTGCATTAAGAGCTCTAATTATATTGTTAATATTAATATTAATATTGTAATCAAATTACTATTATTTTACCAAAATTAAAATATTATTTAAACAAAAAGACAAAGGATTTATATTTAACAGAAATAAAAACTTCTTTTGACACAGCTATAATTTCTTCTTTATTTCAAGACGTGTCTACCATAAATTTAGATCTTTTTAAGTGTAATAATACAATGACTACGCCAGTATATGTTGTATGTCAGTATGCTGTACATCAAGCAATAAGAATAAAATTCAATTTTGCCTGTAGAAGCACGTCAGAAACATCGAACAGTAAACGTTAGACAAGATTTAAGTTATTGGTGCATAAACAAATTGTTATATTTCATACTCAATCCCGGAATAAATGTTATTGATGCCTAATTTGAATACTTTTTATTTAAAAAAAGTTGATTTAAAATATTGAAGAAATACTAAAACACAAGTGATTGAATGCACTGTTTTACTTCCTTTATTTTTAAGTTTTTCAGTCGTCATAGACTAATATTTCTTGTATGAATATATTTATTTGTATGAAATATATAATATATATATATTTACATATATGTATAATATTTATAATATGTATAGAAGTAATATAAATAAGTATATATTTTAATCGCAATGTAATATTCAGAATATTGTTACTTTTATATAAACTATAATATTATATCTAGTTTACATTTTTATTGCTTTGAAATAGTATTATCTAACATTATTTATTTTTCAGATTGTGGTGTATGCAGACACTATTAAGGATATTGCTTTACATGGTGGATCACTATCTACCGCTGATTTGCAAGAATGTTATAACAACGCGAATCTAGCGGAAGGTGAAATAACTTAAAACTTTTTGTAAAATTGAATTTATTCGTTTAAAATTTAAATTCTAAAAATTTCCCTATAATATCCCATATTTTTGTAATATTCCTCGAATAGTATCAGAATCTATAGTGTTGTAGAGTATCTCGATTCTTAAATATTTAATAAATATTTTTTACGATAAGTCAATATAAAGTACCTTAAAAAACTATACAAATGTAATTTAAAAGGAATATAAATAAATTTATGTAACAATAATTATATTAAAATAGTTTCAGTAAAATACTAAAATAAATATGTATTTTGTACAATGAAGCTTCACAATAATAGTAATTATTTATTTTCTAGCGGATTTGATTACAAATACGGAAATAAAAGATGAATCTTATAAAAACCCAGGAAATGAAGAAAAGGCGAGAAAAAACGGATGCTTCACGTTATGCATATTACAAAAACGAGAACAGGTAAGTATTAATTATATGTATATGTACTTATACACCAGTTTAGTTGAAAAATTTAAAATCATTAATTATCGAAAATAAAGAACACAGCATTTATCGTTATTCTTAAAGTAGGTGCTGTTATCCGTAGAGGAAAGTCCTCGATTATGCGATAGGCTTCTAATATGAGATAGCAGGTTTTCAACATTCAAATTTAATCACAAATCTTTTTTTGCAACTATTATACAATTTAATAATTAATTTTTTATTCAACAGACTTCACTCTAAGAGCAATAAATTCATAATGGAACCAACAGGTGATGTCTATTAATGTAGTAGAAACCCCGCCATCTCATATTAGGAGCCTATCTCATAATTGGGGACTTTTCTCTATAATAAAATTTAAATTAGAAATGGAATTTGAAAAAATTAAGATTTCAAAAGTTTTAATTGAAACTAAATAAAATTGCTCGGATCCGATTACAAGTCCGATCAGACAATATTACAATTTAGTATTTTTAATAATATTTGTATGTAATAAATTTCTACGTAATAACTCGATTGTTTCACAATTTTTAATTATCATCTAGAATCATCTAGAATACAAAAATAAATATCATAATTGCTTTTCACCTTTCTAGATTGTCGGTTCGGAGATTCAGAAGAACAAGCTCTACGGCAAATCGGCACATGCTCATTTGAATCCCGGTACTCAGGCTATAATATATGCAACCGTGGATCGTTGCGTTGAACAAGGTAAGCATATGCATACGGGTATTTTAGTGCATAAGCATATACAGATACACTAAAAGGATAGATAATGCTTCAGCCGTACACATTTTGACATAAAACATTAGATCTAGTAAAATTCTTTTTTATGATCTTATTTTAATACGAGTATGTGTTATCTACACGTATAACTTGTTTAGCGCCAAAAATGGTGAACAGCAAGGGTTCCCTTTTTCGCTACTTGCGGTGTTGTCGTCGCATTGCTTCGGATAGTTCAATAGATTAAAGTGAGAGGAGATACACAATAGTGCAAGCGAGAAAACAAATATAAACCTCAAAGCAATGCAATTGCCGCGACCCCTAAGTTTTCACATTTTTGGAGCCATGTTGAAAGACTGTGTTCGTACTCCTTATACACATTTCATAATAATACTGACAAAAAGTAAAGAAAATTTGTTCAAAACATGTATGAAACTTTTAATAATTCCACGGTATTTACAACAGCGCTCTTAGCCGTAGCTTTGTTAAACATAACAAGTGGCACATTCCTCACACTGGCATATCCCCCCCCCCCATACATTTTACATTTGCCAGTAGGTCGGGCTAATACGGCGATTAGTATTCCTCCAAGTACAAAATGGTAGAGGACTTTTCTATTTGTCTTACAATTAGACCCCTCTACCTTCCCGTGAACGGCGGTCAAAAAGTTGCGAAGCACCCTTGTATAATATTACAAATATAAAAGTACTTATGTCATAATATATTTTCTGTTGCATAGTTTAACACTGATTTATCTATTTATCAATTCCTCATTTATTTATTTACCAGTTCCTTTGAGAAATTGGCTTAACTTTAGAGGACTATCCACCTTCGATTTTAATGCAATTTTACAGGCACATAATATTACTTAAATGTAGTCAAAATTATAAATAGTAGTCTAATTTATAACATAAAATAATCTATATAACCATATAATGAATAAAAAAATTTGCAAATAATTATTTTATATGATTATTTCAGTTAAAACAAACCCAGATATGTGCGACAAGTCTCTCGATCTCCTCACATGTCTCTGGAAGGATTTCATCTAACCAATAAATACATCCATTATCTACTCTTTCAATATAATGATATAAAAAATACTTATTCTCTTTATTATATTAATAAAAATGCATCGTATTGTGAATTAATAAAATGCTTCTAAAAATTTTGTTGTAATATTTCACTTATTATATGTATAATAGGACCTGAATTATCGATGTAGCCTATTAAAAATTTTCTTCGTCTAGAGTCTAGATGTTTTGCAGATATGGCCTGTGCTCCAGCTTTAAACCTCGAAAACCACTCAAATACTCGCAAACGACTCATAGCATCGTCACCATACGCAGATTTAATCATTTCGTACGTTTCTGTAGCCGATTTTCCCAATTTAACACAGACTTAGATGTTCGTTCATTGCTTTATTTAATTTATTAAATAATTTATTTAAATTATAATATCAAATTAATTATGTTGAATTCATAATCATTATTATTTATTTATTGTTAATGTAATTTTAATTGATATTATTTAACTGTTATGTAACTTACAATAATTATTAAAACTTTGCTATTATTTGAATCATCGTTACGCTGTTATTATCATGAAAGAGTCCCATGCCTCTTGATAACCTCACAAAATTTGATAATTTGATAATTTACTTATTTTCAGCGTCTATCCTTGAAATACAGATTGCGATTTTTTTGTTTGGCATCGTTATGTTCACGAAACGATGTGTAACGATAACATCATCGTATCACTAATGTATCACAAAATAGGCATACTGCACATATGTATATGTATGTAACATGATAATCGGTAACAAGTTTTTATGTTTTTTTCCGACTGCGATATTTAACGGTCGCTTGGAAGATATAAGTAGCGATTCATATTGGGGCATCAATGTCAGTTCACAAAACTGTGCATCAAACGTGTCTTATTAGTGAAAGAAAGACTATGAAGTTATTCGAGCTGTTAATCTGCCTGATGGCGATTGCCGTAAGTGTCTGTATTATAATTGAATTATTCACATTTAAAGTATATGAATATTGAAATATTCACTTTTAAAGTATATGTAATTGACATTTTAAAAAATACAGAAAATTTATATTATTAAAATACTACATTATCATTGGCCATCTTTCCAATGTGTTGTAAAGGAAAAATTAAAACTACAAAAGTATAATATATTTTAAACATATCAAATTTCAATAATCATATTAAGTTTGTTGCATAAAATATAGTCATCGATGATCATGTGCACATATAATAATCAGTAATATTAGCAAAAACTAACATTTCAGTTTTTAAACAATGTTGGTATTGTTACAACGTGCAATATTTGTAATGCAAATAATTTATAGCTAATATTCGCTACATAGAGCAACAATATATTTAACGATGAATCGCCTTAAATTGTGATACTATGTACTATATGTATACATATTATACATAGAGAAAAGTCCTCTATTATGAAATAAGCTTCTAATATGAGATAGCAGGTTTTCAACGTCAAAATTAATTTAGCGCAATACCCTGCTATCTTATATTAGGAGCTTATCTCATAGTAAGGGATTTTTCTCTATGTATATACTTTAACCGCGATTTAATGTTAAGTTTATTATAACATAATTTTCAAATCCATTGTCTAGACTATATTGTGTACAGTCTTTGTTGTATTTGTTTAACAATATCGATTTTAGATGGTTGCTTATGCCAACACTATTGCTGACATAGCTTTATACGGTGGATCGTTGTCCACCGCGGATTTACAACAATGTTATGAGTTCGCAAATCTAACGGAAGGTAAACTTTCAAAATTTCTTAAATTAACTTCAATAATATAAATTATTTTACATACATTGTGTGGTTGACAAATATTCAACTATTTTACACATTACTATTTTGATTACTTTGGTATTTGATAAATATTTTTTGGAGATTCAACACAATAAATAGATTAAAAAATCTTAAAAAAAATATAATTTAAGAAATAAAAATAAAATAGTAAAATTAGACATAATAAAATACTCACTTTTTAGAGTAAATAACACTTATTATTTATTGTAAAAAATGTTTATGATAAGGATTAATTATTAATAATTCATTATTTTTTAGCTGATGTCATTACACACGCGGAAATAAAGGATGGATCGTATAAGAATTCAGAAAACGCAGAGAAACTGAAGAAAAGTGGTTGTCTCACATTGTGCATATTACGTAAACGAGGCCAGGTATAATACGCATATAATATTTACCACAATTTCTTAGAAAATTATAATAAAACATTTTTTATTGAGTGGCAAGCAACAAAATCAAAGAAATATTGTCAATCGAAATATTTAATAAATTTTAAGTTTTAAGATATTTTTTAAATCTAGAGAGAATAACTTTGAGGATGGTTTTGGTGTTTAAAAGTGGAACAAAAATCCAAAATAGAGCAACTAATTAGTAACAAAGCTGCTCTAAAAATGTATTGTGCTTTTATTTTTATATTATTTATGACTGTGCTAATTTTAATTTAAAGTTAGCATAGCCACTATTTTCTCCGAATTGGCTGGAGCAACAAAATCAGAACTTGAGCAACAAATTAGCAACAAAAGAGCACTAAATTTCTTAGTAAGTTTTTTTTATTGTGCTGACGTGGCTGTATCAGCTTGATAGACGTTCTTTCGAACTTTTTGGTGTAGTTTTCGTTTGTGGCTTTTCGCAACCGGAAAGACCCATCGATACCCTCCTCCAAATAATAAACTTTACTTACAATCAAGTTCACAAATTTTTATTTATATAATAAACGCCTCGTTCATCTTTAAGATATCATAACATATTGATAAATTATAAATTTTATAAGTATTTTGTTTTACAATTTCAGATTATCGATTCGGAAATTCAAACGAACAAACTATATGGCAAATTAGCAAACGCTCTTTTAAAGCCCGGTATGCAAGCTGAAATGTACGCAACTATAAACCGTTGCGTCGACCAAGGTAAGCATATTTTATATACAGGGTGTCTGACACAAGAGGGCCCCTGCGAAAAATGGTGGTAGATTGGATCAGACTAAAATAAAAAGCCTTTATTCGCTCAGAGGTTTCAATAACTTATTCGATAACTAATACAAATTTTGTAAAATGGTACATGACTTTTTTTCTTAGTCTAACCAAATCTACCACCATTTTTCGTAGGTGTTCTTCTGTGTGAGATATCCTGTATAAGTACACAAAAGATTATATCTATAGAATAATATGGTTTTATAAACAATGCAGAGAGTAATACGTAAACAAATAATTATTATTATGTTGTTATTTCAGTTAAGACAACACCGGACATGTGCGATAAGTCTTTCAACCTACTTACATGCATTTGGAAAGACTTGATTTAAATATTAATCAAATCCACAAACAATAAATCTGTTACTTTATAGTAATTATAACAGTAAAATTACATAAAAATAGTTGTAATATCTGTTAATAAATAAATAAAGATTTGAGTTTATGTAATCAAGGCCCTGAATTGCTGTATCTTATTCGTATTGTAAAGTAGCTAAATACTTATAAAGTACACACATTCTCTTTAATGTATTGTATTTCTAGATAAGATGTCCTGCATAAGGTGTCCATCCGCTCGCACACAGGTAGAGCGGGTTAAACTAAAAAGAAAAGTTACGTACTACTTTGTAAAATTCCCAATAATTATCGAGTAATTAATTAAAACATCTGAGCGAATAAGCGTGGTGGGAAAAAACAGTGATCGCGGCGGGGATCGCGGGGCGGGCGGCGAGCGTTGTATCTCGCGTGTCGCTCCACCTTCCGCTCAACGATCGATTATCTTATATGGCTTCCAAGTCCGGCCTACCGTATTCTACGTCCTCATTCGCTCAGATGTATAAATTAATTACTCGATAACTATTGCGAGTTTCGCAACGCGGCATATGACTTTTCTTCTCACAATCAGTTTAACCCAATCTACCACTATTTTACATTTGGCGACATTTTTATCAGACACCCCGTATATTAACCTTATTTTAATATAGTAAGTTAGTCTTATTTAATTCAAGAGAGAAAAATAGGAATTATTAAGTTAATCTTAATATTTTTATTTTTTTACTACATAAAGTTGTGATAAGTTTAAATATGTTAAGAATATTTTTGTTACCAAAATTTTTTCCGAGAGAGTAATGTATACAAGTTATAATTAATATTTTATTTGTCAAAAACAATTGTATACGTTTCAGAGACAATACATACATCAACAAAATCTATACTTTCTTCGTAGAAGTATGAGACGCAAATAGATGTATTGTATTAGAAATCCGACGTCAATGCACCGATTATATAAAACTAGATTAATTTACTGTAATAGTCGTAACAAATTTTTCAAAGATACGAGTATTTCACGCCAATGCTCGCCGAGCACTAAGAACATTTCTTTCTTAATAAGTCTGCGTAGATATCCTGCGCGATAACCTCAGTAAAACGGAAGCTTCGTAATATTCTATCGTAATGTACATATATGGTACATAAATTTATATATCGAGATGTCAACAGCAGAGAGAGGAATATATGTCATTGGACGAGTGAATTGGCATTGCCAATTGCAGTCTAACGTCGAAAGACGTATAGCAAACACGTATAGGAATGTCGTAGAAAATCCAAAAATCATGAGACAAATAATACTTGTTTTTAACCTATTTATTGCTTTTGCGTGTGTAAGTATATGTTTATAATGTGTGGTATATATAAATAAATGTGTAATATATGTGTATACTATTCAACTTTCTATATACATACAATTAAACTGGCGTTAGAATTATTATCAATAAGCACATATAACATAACCTGTTAAAAATAAATATGCAAGAAGTATATATGTATATGTATATAGAAGGTATCGTAAGAATTTATCGTAAAGAGAAGTCTTTCTTGGGACAGGATTTTGTTAATACAATGACTTTTTCAATCTTAATTTAAATTTTACGTATTTTTAATCAAATTTGAATTTATTTATTTATTCTTAAAAATCATATAATCTTTTAATTTTATTTTTATTAAAATAAGATTAAATTGTAGTTATATTATTGTATAAATAATCTAATATATATTAATGTATTACTTATACATTATTAATACCATTATTTACTCTATCATTTAAATTTCTTCTTATAACCTTTCATAGCTAATTGTGATTCTATGATATATCTTTGTTACAGGTAATGGGTCTTAATGATGATATCACAGATAAAATAGCAGATTCATTATCGATGTCGAAAACGGATGTAGAAATCTGCATGAATAAAACAAATGTAAATATCAGTAAGTACATTGGACAAAAGTTATATGTGACATAGGATTAAATTTTTCTACGTTTCTTTTAAATTTTTGTTATAGTTTATATAGCACGTATGTATGTTTTATATTGTACTTATTTATTTAATATTAATTTTATTAATTTTATTCTTATACAGCTTGTTCATAACATAATTACAATTTATGTAATTATTATATAATTAATAGTATAGATAATTAAAATATAAATTATTAAATATCTAGTTCTAACATTATAATGAATCAAATGATTCTTGAGGGGAATTACTTAGAAAAGCATCCCCTGCACCACATCTGTGAAATGGCAATTAAATTGGTGATGTGTTATCTAAGATAACTTATCTTTTCTACATAATTACCAACACATTATTTGTGATATATCTCAGAAACTATACGTGACCGCCATATAGTTGTTAAGTAAAATTACTCAGGATTTTACTGTTTATAACATATGTCAAAATGAAAAAAATTCGTGAGTTGTAACTTTTCTGCATAATTGCCCAAAATTATTGACAATGTAAACAAAAGCTACTCGACAATTGACACTGTTTCCTTCGACATAGAATACCAATTACATTTTATTAGGACGGTATTCATAGTCAAATCTTATATGTATTAAAAATCGTCTTAAGATCATTTTTAGATACTCTGTGGCCAATAAAATATTCCTTCCAGCATCTTTGGATAAATTCAAGACGGTCTTAAATATAAGATCTAATTATGATTACCGCCTTAGTAATACAAATTAATTTATTTTTGAATTTTTTTTCTAGATGATTTAATGAAAATGGACCAGCTAGTAGATGACGACATAATGACGGCGGATGTTGAAAAATCAGCTTTAAAAGTTGGTTGTCTATTTGTTTGTCTATTACAGAAAATGGATCTGGTAAGACTTAAGAAAATTAAAATAATGTTAAATAAAAGAATAAAATAATTTATTATACAGGGTGTCGGATTCGATTTGGACCACTCCAAATATTATAGTAGATTGGGTCAAACTGAGAAGGAAAGTTATATACCATTTTACAAAATCCGTAATTATTATCGCGTAATTAAGAAAAACGTGAGCCAATAAGTGCACGGAGGAGCTGAAGGCCGGACTCGACAGACATGCAAAATGGTGTATTATTCTCCTACCACCAGAAAAACTTTTTCAGCGCGATGTCATATGTCGCGCATTCGCTCGCTGCGCGCTGTTCGCCCGCTCACCGCTCCCCGCTCGCCGACGTCTCTCATCGATCGATGCGTGATTCCACCTCTCGCTATCGGATCTTGAGAGATGTCAACAGATAAGTACACCATTTTGCATATCTGCCAAGTCCGGCCTTCCGCTCCTCCGTGCACTTATTGGCTCAGACGTTTTTCTTAATTACGCGTTAATAATTACGGATTTTGTAAAATGTTATATAACTTTTCTTCTCAGTTTGACCCAATCTAATATAATCTTTGGAGTGATCCAAATCGAATCCGACACCCTGTATATTATATTTAATAATTTCTCATAACAAAGTCTCTTCAAGTAAAATAATTGCTTTTTGGTTTATTTTTTGTAGAAAAGACCTAATTATTTTAATTTTTTTTTGTTTTTTTGTTTAATTCCATCATTTTTATTAATTTCTACATTTCTAATTATAACTGTTAGATTGAACTAAATTTATATTTTACACTAGTCATGAGTACAATCAAGGGAGCTTTGTTTACCTACATTCCCGATTACCTACAGATCAATTGCCAAGCATTATTGCGTATATGTATAACCTTATTATGCACAAACACATTGCACACATAACATTATTGCACATATGCAGATTTCACGCATAGTATTATTGTGCACATGCAGATTGCACACGTGGTTGTATTGTATACAACAAATTAGAAAATCTAGTAGAGGAGGGGGAATCTTATATTGCAAAGTTGCAAAACCATATGGAACCATATACCTTCCAAGCCCAGCCTACCGCTTTCCACGCGCTTATTCGCTCAGACATTTCAATAAATTATTCGATAACTATTGCGAATTTTAAAAAATAGTACATTATTCTTCTTTTTAGTCTGACCCAATCTACAACCATTTTTCGTAGGGGTCCTCTTGCGTCAAACACCCTGCATACACATAGAGGAAAGTACCCTATTATGAGATAGGCTTCTAATATGAGATAACAGGTTTTCAACGTCCAAATTAAATCACAAATTTTTTTCGTAACGATTGCACGATTTGACAGTAAATTTTCCGCTAAACAGATTTCACATCAAGAGTAATAAATTCATGGAACCAATAGATAACACTTGTTAGTTTAACCGAAACGCTGTTATCTCATATTAGAAACTCGTCTCATTATAGCGGAAGGCTTCCCTATATGTATACAGGGTGTTACGGATGAGGTGTCTGTCCGCTCGTATACAGGTAGAGGGGGTTAAAATGAAAAGAAAAGTTATGTACCATTTATAAAACAAATATAAATATCAGTAAGTACGTTGGACAAAAGTTATATGTGACATAGGATTAAATTTTTGTACGTTTCTTTTAAATTTTTGTTATAGTTTATATAGCACGTATGTACATTTTATATTGTACTTATTTATTTAATATTAATTTTATTAATTTTATTCTTATACAGCTTGTTTATAACATAATTACAATTTTGTTTCTAACGTAATTACAATGTACTATTATGAGTGTGTGCGCGCGTGCGTGCGTGTGTGTGTTGTGTGTATATATACACATTTATATATAATTTCTAGATGTCAGGTACATACATCAATGTGGAGAAGATAAAGAACATATTAGACTCCAAAATGCGTCCAAACCACAGGCTTATCGCTATGCGCAATCAAATTTTGGATACATGTTCTAATCGTGGTAAGAATGTTGATTAAGTATAAACTTAGCAGGGACATGATGAAAATAAATTTCCAGAAAACATACATACATAATAATATATGCATATTAATGTGAGTTATAAACTAAATATACTTAAAGATTGATTATTGTAATTATTACAATTTTTTCTTTGTTAGTGATTAAAAGCTAGTTGTGCTGGTTCTCATAAATACAAATTTTGTAACTTGAATTTATTTATTGTAATAATTTAATATTTGATTACTAAACTGTGATTACATATATGTATTGTATATGTATGTATAATATACTATAATAATTTCATTCGCATATCTTTTCAGTTAAAAGCAAGGTTGACGAATGTGAAGTGACTTTGAAATTCTATCTCTGTATAATTGCAGAAGTAAAGCGTAAGGAAAATTGGAGATTAATGTAGTAACATGGTATATTAAAATAAATGATATAACAATTTCTTTAACATTATTTAGAATTTAATATAAAATCTAAAACTTCAGCACTTATTTTCTTCTACAAAACTTTTCTTGCTACAAACTCAATAATTGCTTCTTTATAAGACTTTAATTGTTAATTACCGAAATAAATTTTTGTTAATGTTTTTGTTCTTCCTATCCATGCCAAAAATTTATATAATATTGTAAAATAAATTTTACTATTAAACCACCAGGCAATAAGTATTGTTTGTTATTATTAACTATTGTTATATCAACCCAGATAACATGCATGTCTAAAAGACATCTTTAAGATGTCTTTAACACGTCTTTTAGACATCTTTTAGACATGTACCTCTAAAAGATATCTTAAAGACGTCGGGAAGTTTATTATAAAATTATAAAGCCAATTAATTGAAGGTTATTTGAAAATTATTTGACAACTTACTCTATACTACCAGAATAAGAAATAATAGCTCGATAAAGTATTAAAAGTAATTCAAGGAATATATCTTTAAATAAAATCACGCGATACGGTAGTGTTTCGCTTATACAGGGTGAGTTATAACATTTGTCCACGAGCTCGTGAGAAGGTAGAACGGATCGAGATGAACAGAAAAGTCCTGAAACATTTTGCAATTTTAGCAATAGTTAACGAGAAAGAAATTATCGAAGATCGTCGTCTTTGCCCTACCCAGTGAGCAATTCGAGCTCGTAGTGC